ATCGAAACTGGCAGGAAAGTGGCGGGAACAACTTCGTAAAAGGATTCTCTCCGACTTATAGGTTTCCGAGTAAAGTTCCTTAGGTTGGTTCCGAACTCATGGATCTCTTTTCCCATTGTTCAGCTTGAAAATAAAGGTGTTGGGAGAACAGTTTACTCAATAATCTGCTCGATACCGAAGAATCTGAGCTGCTGGTTGATCAAAACAGTAAGTCACATCATCACTACTAGTAGAGACAGGCCAACACCAAAGGGATTGGCTTTCAAAACAAAAGTCACATACGAGCAGGGCCACGTTTCTTACTAGAAACCCATTTAAGAAGTCTTCAGACAGTAAACACAATTTTCAAGATTGACTTCGGTCGGTTACGAGTAACGGTACGTTTGAGCTCTCAAGTTTAATCGGAGTATTCGAAGCCAAAAATCACCCTGACTCGTTCGATGATAGCAACAGCAGCAGCAGCAGTTTGTTTACGTATCCCCTCTATCAAAAACTAGAATGTACACTGTGGAAAAGTGAGGGCAGCTGGAGTAGCCTCTCTCCTGGCACCACGGGAAAAGGCGGTGTAATTGAGGAAGAGGAGACCAAATCTGAATGAGAATCAAGAAGCTACTAGGTCACCATTTACGCAGACAATTCTGAGGGAGCTACAGATAGAATACTCGAACATGCTCTCAGTAGCTACCCGTCTAAACCGCGACAACGTTCGTTCCTCTTTGTTGTCCCATTGTCGCCTCTTCGGCCTTCTCAAATCGTGTCGTTCTGAATGAAAAATCCTTTTTCATGAAGATACGCCCTTTTGGATGTGGACCGTATGCGAGAGTCTCAGCTACGCACCTATGAGTATTTATTACAAAGGATTTCAACAGCAAATAATTATTTCGACTTTAAATTGGTTTTCACGTGAAATAGCTATATTCGTCTGCTTCTTCATCTGCTTCCTCTTTCCACATATGGACAACCAGATCATGTACACTTCACTACAAGCGCCAAGAAAAAGTGGTGAGTTCCTCGGAATCAACACAACATCCACAACACAGGCTCACAGATCCTTGATCATTACCAATTGCCAAGCGTATGGAGCGAGTGCACTTCCTCAAGCCCCAAGTTCATTGAGCCACAGCGGCTCATCGAGTTTCTATGGGAAATAATAGGATGAAGTATAGAATCTCTGGCGTCATCTAATCCCTTTTTATGGTGGGCAGCCGTTGTCCGAATGGCTGCCTTCATAGTCCGCCGCTCGGCGTGCCACGAGGCAGTGCTAGGAAGGAAGAGGGCGGCAGACGGTCGGTCAGCCCCTCGAAAGGCTGTAAACAAGGAGAGACAAGATCAAAAACCATTTGTACCAGCCCCTTGCTGTTTGCTTTCTGATCTTGTTCTTCTTTGTTTTCAGCCCTTCGACCGACCGTCTGCCGCCCTCCTCCCTCCTAACATTGCCTCGTGGCACGCCTGCCGGCCGGCCGGCGCACTATGAAAGCAGCCAATCAGTGCTTTTATCTTCCCAGACGAGTCTGGCTCCAATTTACCGACTCCGGAGGAATGGAAGGTTTGGTTTGCCTGGGCCGATATATGTAGAGACCCTCCTCACCAGTCTCAATCGTGCTTATTAAATGATTAAATGGGCTTCGCCTATAGTGCATATTCATATTTAGCTCTGCTACAGCTTTGTTTCGTCTGGCCTGCCTGGAAGTGTTTCAGCACCACCACCACGACCATTCCAAACGAAGATGAGCACAGGATATTAGCTTTTGAATGCACTCTTTTCAACGAATTCCTGGGCAACGTGGAAGAAATGCCAAGTCACGAGGAAGAGGAGGAATAATGGTTACTAATCGGAGAAGGGGCTTCAAAAATGACTCGGTGCACTTTTGTTTTCGCAATCTGGATTCCTCGAACAAATTGCATAATGCGGTCAGAGCCGATAGTGGAAGCGGCAGGCATGGAGTCAATCTAGCCTCGCCACATATCATGCTAATTATCAGAACTGGTTAAAATATGGTAATGATGAATATGATCATTGAGCTCAGCAGCATCCTTACAATGGACAGCTTTGAGTAGCAAAAGTTATACGAGGTGTATCACTGTCTTGAATGTTCAGTCAGAGTAGAAGGGACTCTTGGTATCGTCGTCTACGGCGACGGTCCCCTATAATTATGTCGTCGTCTCACCGTCTGAGCCGACTCCCTAACTGAACCCATGCTCCTTAATGTTGCGGGGTCAAGCGGACCCGAGGGGTCCGCACTCCTTCCTAAATAAACGTCACGGGCAGGACGTAAGTTGTGTCGTCAGGTAAAGTATCTATTACCATTATTCTGTGCTTTAATAGCGGGAACGTCCTCGCTTACTTATTATTGTGTCACATTTATTCCGTTATCACCGGAGCCCTTAAAATAACCACTGAACCACCCGCACACTTGACACAGTAGAGCACTTGATAGTTCATGATTTCGGTTTGATTTGTCCTTAATAGACTTCTCCTAAGAGGCTCATGTTAAAAAGCAACTAAGAGGCTCATGTTAAAAAGCAAAGTTTAGGTCGAAAATGGCTTCTGAACATTCTCTTGCGGATGAACCTGTGACCCTCAGGGATAAGCCTGAAGGACGGTGTCGGATCAAAAAACAGTCAAGTAGAGCATGGCCCCCAAAGCCGGCTTGGCCGAGGTACACACCTAAAAAGGCGGACGAGTTGTTAAGCGTTTTAAAAGCGTAGGGGTTGCACCATTCGCACCAGGATCCACAAATTGTACGCAGGCAGCGTATGGTAGCCAGCTGTATGCAATGGAGCGCACGTTCAGACAGCTCGTCCAAATACCTTTTCAATGGGTGCTTTCAAACTTCAATGGCGCAAGCGACAAGAGCGCGTGGGTTCGATCAGCGGCGGCGCTAGCCACTTCTGTACATCGATCGATGCAGCAAGTAGGCGATGGCTAATTTCTAGTATTTTGGGTGTCGGCCGCTCTTTTTCTCTGCAATTTCGTGCACTCTACTTCCACATTTTGGACTAAACTCCAACTTCATCTTACGAATTAGTTGTACGCGCCTCCCACAGAAACTGCGAAATTTTGTGTTATAAATCAATTTCAGAACACATATGTTAGCAGCTAAGCTCCTTTCCGGCTATTTTGTGAAAATCTCTTTTGGGTCAAGACCCACAATCAAGAAATATAGGTGCAATGCAGAAACAAGCTTGGAAATAATCCGAAAACACGAGGGATAGCAATGATATGTACGTGCCAGAACACTCTTATAGAGTAACCCATCTATTTTAAAAAAAGCTGCAAAGTAAAAAATGCATAGAAAAAGCAGCGGTCGTTACTCCAAATGCTAGAAATTAGCCCTAGCCGACTTGCGGTATCGATCGGTGTCCAACGCAGCCAACAAGTGGCTAGCGCTGCCGTCGATCGGAAGCGTGCTTGGACGCACGCGCTCTCGTCAGTTGAGTTGTAGAAGTCTGAAAGCGGCCAATGCGGTTTTTCGTAACTTCTCCCAACCCCAAAATTCACTTCTTTTTGAAGCCTTATATTTCTCTAAGAAAATTATGGAATGTGCCTTTAAGAAAAGAGCAAGTTCCCTTTTTTCTCGAATTTTATTGTGGTGGTCGTACACTCACTCAACGCCCGTAAATGTAGATGGATGCGTAGCCTGTCGGTACACGACCACGTATTGGGGTTGCTCGACCATCTCATTTTCTTGAAGCAATACGAAATCATAAATAAGAGCAATATCAGTTCAAAGAATGGAATTCTAAGCTGCAAGTGCTAACACGGGACGATCGAACGAAGTTAATTGTATCAACTTGAGAACCATCCACAATGGGAAGAGGGGGCTTCTAGAAGAGCGGAGTCAGGTTGCACAATTGAGACATCAGTTTCAAAATCGATTATTGAACTTTCGACTGCATTTAATTGGAGCACATTAAAGCGACTTAACACAAAAGCAGGTGTGCATTAGCAATGCACGTCGTTTTTTTTCGAAACATGCATAGCCATTAATCACTTATTTCAGCTAGGCCGTTTGCTGTTCCGATTGAAAAAATCCTCAACCGTGGATGATTCTATTCAATATACAACACTGCTTTGAGAAACTTCTACCGATGGCAGTACATGTTAGTTTCCTGCATTGATGTGGAAATCAGTGGAGCGTCAAGCATCATCGTAGGACATCTACCTCAGGTTGCATGATCCTCCCACTAATCAATTACAACATCGATAGAGCCTCTAGTTAGGTCCCTCGATATAGGCCCAAGTGTCCATAACTCTAACGACTTTGTCTGTAACAACTGATTTTGGCAATATTGAGCCAAGGTTAGGCAGGGCAACACGTTAATGAACCTTTCCAAGCAATGTGTTCAAATTCGCGACCATCCCTTCTCAAATTGAACGATGCCACCCTCTCAGCCCCCCTCAAGTGTAAAGCAGTCCGATGGCGACATATCAAAGCCGCGCCAGATTGTAAACATCATCACTTCTGTTACTGCCCTTCTCTATAGCCGAATCGAAACCACAATCAATAGTAAACATTATATTTATTGAATGAAGAAGTAGATTCATCGCGTTTTCTATCAAAAAAAAACATGACAGTTACGCAAGGGTTGTATGGTAATAGTACATAACATCTGTTCAACGAAAGAATGTACGCTTTATCGAGTTCCTCTTAACAAGTAGAAACAACAACACTCCAAGTAACAAAACTGGCGCTCTGCTAGAGCCCTAGTAGTAATCCGATTCCCTGCAAACTATGTATTCAACGATGTGTTTAATAACACTATGAGATGACGAATAGAAGGAGAAGATCATAGGTCGACTTTTTCATTCCAAACAGGCAATAGCCACCGAAACACCGATGAAGCTAATTCATCAAAAACAGAGATCCAATGGCTAAACAACAAAAATGAAAAATGCCATAACAAAGGAAAACATCAATGGACTGTGGCACTACACTATACATGCAGGGGTGGATAACTAATGGGCACGAGCAGATGTGGTAGCAAAAGTACTGGAGATGACGCTCAGTTGCGAAGAAGAACAGTGCAACGACAGTTTACTTGGAACCAAGAGCGGGAAAGGCATCAAGCGAGGAATCAAACTGTGGAGGAGCCTGAGCACGGTTTCCTCCGCGACCCCCTCGCCCACCACCGCGTGCACCACGACCTCTTGGTGGGCGATCACCACGGAAGCCACGGTTGGGCTCAGCGAACTGTATGTCGATATGCAGTGCCTTCTCACGTGGTTCGCGGCGAATTATTGAAACTTCTTCCTCCTCTTTGTCGACAAGCACTTCCTTTTGCAGCTTGACTAGCTTACCGAAGTTCTCCTCTTCACCTTCACCAGCCTTGCGGACGTTGAATTTGGGAGCTTCCTTCTGTACCTTCCACAAATCCAAGATTAAATGATGGAAACTATTCAAAAGAGAAAAAACAGAGAAATATAAAAATTAGGATCTAGTCACCTTCTGAGAGTCGATGTACTCTTTCAAGGTCTTTTGCTTCGCATATTCAGCCTCAAGAGCTTCCTGTGCGAGCTCTTCAGCAGTCTTCTCTCGAGGAACCTCGGGCTCTTCCGGTACGGCAATAGGTTCAGTTTCCCCAGCAAGCTCATCCTAAATAAGTCAGAATCAGCATTGCTTGCATCACCTAAAACTCTTTATCACCCTCGTTCAATAAGGATGAAAAACTTGTGGAAAAGCAATTACTTCCAAGAAACTCATCTCTGCATAATGGCTGAACAATTCCAAAAAGAAAAAAGATGACGCCTGCCACATCTATTTCGAAACGCGCCAGTATCTGATTCAATCCAAAAACTAGCTCCATTGGAATATGTTAAAGCCATATTCTACAACCAACCCAATCACTCATCCATTCCCCTCTGTCAGACATTCATAACAACAGCTCATTCTACTTACTTTGGCGGTTTCGATAGGTACCTACTCAGAAAAATCGATAACTTTAATCGTAACGTGAAGAGAATCTCGACACTGATGGAATGTGTGAATGTTGTCAATTAGTAAGAACAACAACAAGAAATGGCGTTTACCAAACGTTCTCAATATTTATGAATGGTGATGTATTTTGTATCCTAGTCAAGCAATCTCTGGATCCAGCCTACGTCTTTCGATGGCCACTTTTAGATGCATAAATTCAAAGTTAAACATTTCGCAGCTGAACTCTTCAAAACGCCGATAAAAAAAA